GGAGAAGGCCTGGTTCTGTGAGTATGTTCTGGAAGAACAGGTAAATTGCTCTCTGCATCTGACATGAGTCCGTGATTACAGATCCCAATGGGGTTTTGTTATGATCTAAGTTTTGGGCTACTCAGTGCTATAAAAATTTAGATACAATGCATGCTTAGCAGTAGAAATACAAGCTTTCAGATGGATTTACCATGATCTTAAGCAGCAGCAACCTGCAGCTCAGCATGGCTTTTGATCTCAGTTTCATGTTTCAGTTGAAATTCATCCACTAGCATTTGAACAGGGCTCCTGATTCAGAAGAAATTGAACTCCAATGTCCAAGGCAGAAGCTCAGAAAGCCTGTGACCTTTTGCTCTGACCTGGGCTTATCTTCACTTCAAGCTATCTGAAGTCTCACTGATAGCAGATGAACTGCCTGGTACCCTGCTCACACAAGAGTTCACCCACCCCAAAATGTAATCCAGCTCCTCTGGAAGGGTCTTTCAGTTCATTTGCCCTGCTCAGAGCCCACACATTACACCAAGATGACACCACTGTTTATGTTAGATGCAGCAGAAAACACAGCCTGAAGCTCACAAGTAGGAAATGGATTACAATAATAGACCTCCAAGGTTGTAAACAGACTGGTTTAAATTTATTTTTTTCATGACTGACTGCACCATAATCAGGATTTTACCGTTTTAATTTCTTATATTAAGTTAATAGGGAAATTAATTGTTTCTGTTTATTCAGATTATGCTGTTATGGACAGGAAAAAATAGTGTATTTAGGTATAAACTAGGAATAAGAACTTAATTATTTACATATTATTTCAGCCATGATCGTGGTTTATTCTGATTGATACTTTTCACATCTCTATAGTTTTTTTGTTGGAAAAATCTCGATATGGTGATTTCTGGTGCTTCTTTAAATTTTTCTGTCTCATTAAATACAATAGAAAGCAACAGAACAAACAAGTTACAGTAATCCCTAAAACAAAGTAACTGACTGTGATTTACAGTCTTGTGAAGTTTTGACTTCACAGAAGTAATTGGGAGATTTTCTGTTAGCATTGATGGAACCAGTGCTTTGGTACAGGTGTCCTACCAATTTAAGGTGTCTCGCAAACCAGAGTTGTTTCAGTTCTATATTCATTAATGCGAGAGAAGCTCCAGATTTCAATAACACAAGCATATAAGGAATATTTTATGTTAAAAAACCCAGCAGATGTGTCTCCTGCTAAATTTTTCTTCATAAAAAAAAACTAGGAACACAATTACAGTCTCTACAGCATGTACACATGCAAAACAATTTCTTTAGTAATCCAGCTAAAGGAAGGACAAGTGAGTAGAAATACCATATTGCTGTACCCTAAATCTATGTAGGAATTTTATTCAGATGAATTGAAATGTAATACACATTGGTAATTATTTCTTATATTTATCAAATACCAGGGCTGATATTATTAAATAATAATAATTAAAAGCATACATGAAAATTCCCTTGAAGTGAATAACATAAAGATATTTTGTCATTAAATACCTAAAACTCTTTCAAATCATAAAACATTATAGACAAAGAAGTAAGCTCTCAGATTTTTCTAACAGATTTAGAAAAAACAGAAATGAATAGTTTAATAGATCTCAACAAGAATAAAAATAGAAACTGCATACGGATTTCCTAGGTTCTGTAAGACGCTGAGGTGCAGAATGAAGCCAGTAACACCAGATAAAAGCTAATGATAGAAACAAAGCAAAGTTGTTTTCAGAACAGAGAAAAAAACAGTAGAAAATAAACATGATTCACAAGAGTATTAATATTTGGTAGGAAAATGGAAAAATAAGTATAATTCAGTACTGATCAACAGTGCTAAGAAAAAAAGATTATATAAATAGATGTAAACGCAATTTCTTCCTTGTATGAATGAGCATTAATAGAAGAAAATTGTAATAAATGACCTCAATTGAATTCTAGTACAAAACTCTACCTCTTCTCAACCAACACTTCTCATGACTAATTTTTAATACATATAAATTGCTGGCAGAACTACTTTTGAAATGAACATGCTGTTGGTGAAGGTTAAAATGTTATGTGATAGGAATCCATTTTCATACAGTCCATTATTAATCAGTGAATGAGCTTACCTGTTTCACTAGAAACAATATCATGACAGAACTGGCAGGTGCAGGACATATTCTGGACCAGAGTCCCATGCTGGAACAGAGACCAAAAAGTGCCACCATACACATTCTAATAAATTTGTCCCCAGTATGCTGGGGCTACTATAGATCAATTATATCACCCTGTCCCATGGAAAAAAAAGAAGCTGAAATATCTTCTTTTATGAGTGTAACTGCTTCATGAATCTTCTCACAAATAACAGAGGAAGTTACTACAGTGCCTGCAGCTTGCTCGGCTCCAACTGCGTTTTGCTTTTCCCGATTAAAGGCAGAGAAAATTTACTCTAAACCTCACAGAAAGTCTGCTTACTGTAGCTTGTCCTTTAGCCAATCAGAAGTCAGAAAACTATTAAAACATTAAAGGGCTGATCCTGTTCCCCTGAAACTCCATGGGAATTTTGCCAGGGTTTTTGCAAGAATGCAATCCAGCTCCATAAATACACATACATATTTATACACACCTCGTGAAACCGTTGAAAGACGGCCTAGAACACAGAAAAACTCCATGTAGGAAGCTTGCTTTGCAGGAATCAGCTCAGTAATAGCTGGGTTTATCCTTTCTGAGCATGTTTTGTGAAATATGCACTATCAGTGCAGGATCAGGGAGGATCCAAATGGACAGAAAATGATGTTACCAGTGGTTATTTTATTACAATTCTTGTGACATTCCTCTTTTTTTTTTTTTCCACTTTTTCAGCTGTGGGGTTGGAGAAACTGCTCATGAATTAATTTTGCAAAAATTGTTTTCAACTTTTCTAGTTGCAGAGAAAAGCTTGAAAACTTCAATAACTCTATGTACTGTGTAGGCTCAGGGAATCAAACCATTTATAGTAAATAGTTTTAGAATCAAGCTCATGATTGTCCTACTTTGAACTGGCAATCTGGAGAGTCGAGGGGGTGCCTCCTCCATTTCCAAAAGAAGTGAAACCTGCAGCTCTGCATGCCCTTCCCAGAACTCAGGGGCATCCAGAGCAGCTAAGATGGAGATCAGGCAGAGATACAACGCTAGGACTTGTGGAGGCCATCAGCAGTTCAGTTTTGAACACCAAACATACATAGGCTAAACAGTGTGGCAGATAGATACACCTTGCAGCACACTCCACCAGCAGTGTGACCTGAGTCTCTACACACATGCCCAAACATTCTTCTTCTGGAGGAATCCAGGAGGTGAAAAGGCATAATACATACCCATGTCTCATCTTTACATAAAATGTGGATGTAATAAAAGTAGTACTTGGACATGGATATGGAAGTGCCATGGGAACCAGGATTTCAGGATGGAAATGCATTCAGCCCAGTCTGGAAGCCTGACAGCCCAGTCTCGTGGCCTGCCACTGGCCACTCTGTGCTGCTGTGCCTCCTGGCTAGATGTGTCAACATACATATCCCACCCTGACACACCAAAGGGCTACTCTGTGGGTCAGGGAGAGCCCCTTCAAAGCCCCAGTAGTAACTCCTCATCTGTGTATTGCTATGAATATAGCCCTATGTGATTACTCCTGGGAACAGAAACATAGATAAGTGCTTAATCCTTAGAAGGACTTTACTCCCTCCCTCCTTCCTTCCCACCCATCCTGTTCTCAGATGTACTGGGCAGCTCACAATGCTGTCCAATTCACAGAGGCTTCAAGTGGAGTTCCCAAGTGCTACATCCTCATGAAAATACAATTACACAAAGCTGCAGTTAAAAATAACTGCTGGCTCAATCTACAGTCTGCTTCTTGGGCTGTGAGATTTGCTGTGCCTTTTTAGCCCAGATACCTGCTTGGGTTTCACTCTGTTGCTGGCCAGCTCTTCAAGCTGAGATCTTCCTAAGTCTAAAACAGGCATTTATCCTATTTCTTTGAGTTTCATACTGGGACTTGTCTAGCCACCAGCTTTCTCCAACCCTGACATCTTATGGTAGAGAGTTGTCTTAAAACTCAGAATGATTTTCATGTCACATATGTGACTTCAGTGTCTGTCCTGTGGTACCACTCTCCTTTAGGCATGAGTTTTGACTTTACAGTTGTAAAATGAAGCAGTCATTTACTAACACTCCTGATCTTTCTGGTTCTTTGTATCATCTACTTGCATTGTCAAACAGGCAGGAAAAACAACGTATAAAACATGTCAAGGTGATAAATATTTCTTAGATGGAGGGAAAAATAAAAGCTATTTCAGAGAGAACAGGTGGGCAGACAAAATAAGATAATTCAGCTTTTTCTCTACCGCTTCACTTACGTTGGTTGAAAGGTCAATTACATGTTCGTGCAGGCAGACTGGACAGTGCCTAGAAGCCCATCAATAGGAAAATCATGTAGTTTGTGGCTTTCATTTGTCACTGGTGGAACTTTGAACAGATGCAGTCATCATCACTTGACTCATCACTTTGACTAATGCTGTCAAATGCTCTAATTTAGCAACTGCTTTATCTCCTTAATACATGTAAGATTCACATGTATTCAATCAAATCAGCATTCAGTGTAACAGGAGCATTTGGATCCCCAGGATTTTATTTCTTAGCTGGGAATTGGAGTTCCGTCAGCGTGACTTCACCTGCTGATCGAGGTAAATGTGCATATTCTGTTTGTCTAAATACAACTTTTCTGATCTCATACTTGGGTACACCCAACGCTGCTGTGTTCTGTGTATCTGTTCTCCTGTGATTCATGGGGCAAACTGTAATTTATTGCCCCACCTCCTCATATGTCTTTCACAAGACATTACTGCCAAACAGCACTGTCTTATATCCTTAATCTCTCCTGCCACATGATTTCTGGCCATGCCCTTATCTCTGCTTTCTGTCTTAACAGCTAAGCTGGTACAGTTTTCTGAGAGGAATGAAGAACGGGATGGTGACTGCAGGCAGTGCTTCACCAGGCAGATACATACACAGCTTTGTAAAAGGTTCTGCCTAGAGCAATCGATAGCGCAGTCCTGGGGGATGCCACTTTCAGTCCCAGCTGCAGACAGACGGCAGAGAGCCTCAGCAGCATTTTCTCTCAGTTTTCTCTCTTTAGCCTTCTCCATCACCGCATTCAGTAGTAGTTACTGGTGTGAAGGGACAAGAAAAGTTGCCAAACCTTTCTGTACGGGGCAGAGCAGAGGGGACCACTGCATCCGCTTTAATAGCCCTGATGCCAACAACAGCAATGCTGTGCAATATATTTGGGAGACAGGAGATGACAAGTTCGTTGATCAGAAGTTTCATGCTGGAATTTGGTATTCCTGTGAAGAAATTATAAATGAAGAAGGTGAGTAAACCCCTGTAAATTTACTTTAGAAAGTCATCTAGGTTCTTCCTACTTATTTGGTGTCAACTTCCTCGGCTGCAATGCCATGCATGTGTTTTAAAGGAAAAAGTATCCTTTAACTTTTTTTCCCTAGGAAGGGAGATCTTAAAGGGTACTATCTAGTCAATTCCTAAAAATTCCCCATAAATCCTGAAAAAACTTTAAGGTGACAGGTTTATTATTATTAGTATTAGTATTAGTATTAAATTATTATTACTATTAAGTTACTTTACCAGGACAGTGTTTTATTTTCCTGATGTTTTTAGCCCCTTAGGCAAAAATAAACATATTTGCCTCAAACAACTGCTGATGATTCCCTATGGCAATGTCAGAAAGCACAATGTGATTTGTTTATTTTTAGAGTCATTTGAGCAATTAAATCTGTGAGATCTAAGCTATTTCATTAATTCAGCACAGCTGTTTCCTGCCTTTCATAAAGCAAAACAGGATTATTTTCACCCTGCTAAAGCCTAATCTAGAGACTTACTAATCATGAGTGGTAGCATCACTTTGTGTATGTAAATGTCAGTAGAATGAAATGAGCTTGCCTTTAAAGAAAGCTTCTGGTTATTTCTTGATCTTTGTATAAAAGAATTGCTTAGCTCCTTCAACAAATAGGACATTTATTGTAAATCAGCACTAAGTTTTCCCCCTTATGTTCTGACAAGTTTACAAATGACAACTAGATCATCCAGAGAAATCAAAGCAGCTTTCACATGTGATATAAAATGCATATATTTTCACAACACCTGTCCTTAAAGTCCAGTTCTACCACAAAGTCTTGTAAGCTGTGCAATTTTAAGGGGGTAAATGTCAAAGATCAGAGCAAAATACATGTCCAAAAGACATCTTTCAGGTGGTGATTGCTGTGGTTGTTTCATTTGTGCATGAGCTAGTGCAGTTCTTGTTTTCCAACTTAGTGGCTGAAAAAAAACCACCCCGTATTTTCAGAGCAGAGCAGAATTAATTCCAAGAGCTTTGTTCACAGCATCTGTGGGGGGATCAGGAGGTCACACGGGTTTGGAAATCAAAGCTTACAGGAATAAATTGTAATCAAGCTTAGAAGAAATTTGCGTGAGCAGCTGCTTTGTCGCTGCAAGGAGAGGACTTGAAATGAGTTGCTAGATTTCCCATTATGGCTTTCACAGCTACAACCTTTTGGAAGTCAATGTCTCCCATTGTCTCCCATTCTATGTCTCCCAGATTCTGGTCCTGCCTTGAAAAAGTTCTGGAAGGATTATCCAGCTAAGTGTCAAGAGCAGATTGATGTACCAGGGACTCTGCATACAAATATACATTAGAAATCATTTCTCCTCATCTTTTCAATTTGTGCTTTTATGACAGGTTTAGCATTTTCTGCTTCCTATGAATCTGTTTCTTTAGGTTATTACAGAATACAAAATCATCCTAAATTTTATTTTAATTTTTTTTTTTTTAGGTGAGAAATGTAGAAGCTTCATCAGTCTGACTCCAGCTTCTGATCGAGGTAGATACGAATAATTTGTGTAAATAAAACCTTCTTGATCACATTAACCAACACCAATATTCTGTATTTTGATATCAAGAATGCTTGCTTTAATCGCACAGGTTTTTGTCCTTTATTTACTTTGTCAACTCCAAAATTAAGTCCACATGACTTGAAATATTAATCTATGTCTTTTGAAGCCACTCCATTGGAATAGGTACGTTCTTTTAAATTACTTTAAATGTCACTACTGGAAGTCAAGATTTGTAAGTTCTTGGCCCCTCTTTCCTCATACTTCCATATTCAGTCATTAAATCTGTGGCTTGCACCATGCAGCCTGCAGAGGGACAGGCAGTGTGTCAACAAGGGCAGGCAATATGCAATTTCAGCCCCTTGGGGAAGAAGGCTCAGTATCTGAAGTCTCATCCTCCCTACCACTGTTGCAGCTTCTCACAATTACTTAGAAAGGTTTGGGAAAGTTGTTGGCCAGCTCTTGCTACTATCTGGACACAAGACCTCCTGCTCCTGACTGTGAGACATTAGCGTGCTGACAGTAAAACAGCAGGCTGAGAAACCTTCATGAGCAGATTAACTTCTTGTGTAAGACATCATTAACAGAAATCCACAAAGAGACCGGTTAGCAGGTAAGCAGAGAAATGAAGCTCAGTGAAACATGGAGAGTGTCTGGGTTCATGAAGGCTTCTCTGCAAAAAATCAAGATCCTCTTTGGTGGAAAATTAATCCTATGGGGACGATTTTAGTTAATGACTAGACCCTCAGGTCTAGGACTGTGTGCATGGCCTTGCAGTCTGTTAGCTGGGTAACATGGTCTTCTGGTTTGGTACACTTCAGTCTGGACTCAGCAACTGTGTCAACAACAAGTAGGTAACTGGATAGTAGTTCTTTTTATATTAACTTTGATTCATGGTAATGTTAGGGTAGCTACTGAGTGTAAAACCATGCTGCTCCACTTTGTACTTTAAGCTTCTTAAGAGAATAACAGAAGCATGCAAGTACTCTACCACTAAATGGCCAAATCAGTAGAGGGAATTGCAATTTAGGGTGCCCACTGACCTCCAAGTTTTCCTATAAATGTTATAATAGCATCCTCACAGGATTTGAGCTTTTGTTTAACGTTGTGTAAACAATATAACTGAAGAAGAAAGAAATGGTGAAAATACTAAATGACTGCTTAGAATATCATTGGTATTTATTGGGTTTTGCAGGAGTTTTATGGCTGTCTATTGTCACAGAGCTTCTGTACATCATTTTGCTTCTGGCTGGAGTCATTCTTATGTCAATAGAAATGTGCTACTACAGCACTGTCATTGATGGGCTAAAGATCAACGCCTTCTCTGCAGTAGTCACCGTATTAGCAGGTACAGTTAAAGATCTCAACTTCCTATATCTAGGAAATGTAACATTGACAGACTTCCACCTGAAAATTAATAACAGTGTCCAAGTTTCAAAACTCTTACAACACGTTTGGAGACAGATACAGTGCAAGAGGCAGCAAAATGTTATGGAAAATATTATTTTCAATTAGCTATTTCTTACTATGATTATTTTTATATGTTATTTTTATAGCTTTTATTATTTTAATTATTTTCTTTTCATAAGTTTTAATTTCATTGTCAGGTTGGTTGTCAAAGGTAAAAAAGTAGCATACTCTTCCAAATAACTTGTTGGGGGTATTTTATTTCCAACATGCTAAGTATAAAATTAGCAATAGCCAAATTAAAATAGCACTTTTAAGAAGGAATAAAATGCAATTGGGTGTTAGTAGAGAGTCACCATTAAAATTGTCTTTCATTTTCTACATATTACTTCCTAAACCAGTGCTATTTAATCATAGGGTCCTGGGCACATTCAGTTTGGAAGAAACTTCAGAGGGTCCCTAGTCCAATCTGGGGGATTCTGTGTTGACTGCATGTTGAGCAGGACGAGGTTGGACCAGAGATCTCTGAAGCTGTCTTACAGCCTGAAGTACTCTGTGATTTGTTCTATATTATAGAATTGTTGCTGAGGAATGTTGCAGTAAAAACTAAAAATTACATGTATTATGAGCAATGTTTCATAGGGTTATTAATTTTAGAGCCAGAAGCAATCATGGAGCTCATGGAGCAATCAGTTTGGAGACCAAAGTGATTTATACTTGGTGCAAGCTTATCTTTTAGAATGGCATCTAATTGGAAGTCAGACATCTGGCAGATGGTAAAGAGTTAATATTAAGACTGGTTTTGTCATTCTCTTAATAGCCAGTTGACAGTCAAACTCCTTTTTCCAAACAGTTTATTAAGAAATGTGCTATCATGGTTCCTGCTAACTCCTGAATGCTGCGTTCCACAGCATGAAGCCTCTTGTTTCTGTGCTATGTAAAAGGGTTCTCCCCATTGCCTGTTGATAGTGTTTCAGGCAACATTAGTATTCCAGGGAAAACCATTTCCCAGCTATTACTGGAGCCAGATCAGTGTCAGCTTGTTATGCCCGAGGACGTGTCCTAGACTAAGAGATTCTGTGCACTAGCTTATGAACAAACATGCTTCATGAACACTTAACAAATTGAGTCTTGTGAGTTTGGGATGAGACCATCTGTTCTGAGAAGCTAATGTGTTTCAGGCAGTGGGATAGTTGATTCTGCAAGGGTATTTATGGATTTGTAAATGAAGCTGAAATCAAAACAAAATAGATGTTCATGGGGAAGTTCACTACTGGAAGATAAAATGCAAAGGGAAAACAGATGATGATACCCTTAGGATTAGGCAGCAACCTAGTAATGATTTTGAAAAATAAATTATTAAATATAAGTCCCTTTCATAATCTTTTTTCAGTGCTTACAATGCTTTTTAATGGCCTTTAAGTGTTCACCTTTTCATTTACCTACAAAACTTTGATAAAGCACAGGGAAATGGAATATGACTGCATGCCTGTGAAAACTCTCTCCACTGAACAATAAGAAACTGTGAAGTGTATAAGGTGCAAGGCAACTGAGCAGTACTTGCTTGTAATGGCTGATCTCTGCTGAGGATTGAATTATTAAGACGTTTTCAGAGGATGAGAGCAAATCAACCTATTGCCTTTTAAAATCTATGGGCTGCACATCCCCTTGCTCCCCATGATTACTCTGAGTACAGGGTAACTGTCAAGATAGTGTATTAGTGATCATATTGGCAAATACATAGCACATTAATACACTTAAATTATGCATTTTTGAGTGATTTATAGAGTTCAGGCACTTCATAAAATATTCTTCAGGAGCTCAAGGGACAAGTGTAAAAAGCTGACAAAGAAGAATGTCCTTAATTTACCTTTTCTAATGTTCTTATTGTATTTTGTAGGTCTTCTGGGCATGGTTGCTCATATGATGTACACAACTGTATTTCAAATGACTGTAAATCTTGGTCCTGAAGACTGGAGACCTCACACATGGGATTATGGCTGGTCCTATTGGTACCTATTGGTTTATATTTGGTTCTTCCATTACATTTCAGTCACTTCATCTTATGTCCAAGGAATGTGTACCTAATTTATAAGGGATGGGTCTACCTTATTTCACTCCTTGGGAGGCAGTTAACAAGCAGCTGGTTTTCTCCAAATTCAGTTGTCTTAGATTATTACATAGGATGCATAAGACTGTGAATTTTGAATTTGCCATCCTTTAGTATGGAGACCTCCAACTGCTCTGCACAAAGCAGAGGTCCTTCTCCATACACATTGGATCCAGTACCCTCATCTCCCAGAACAGCTGCCTCGCATAAGGTGTTTAAAACTCTTCCAGCTTTAACCACTTAGGCTGAGATTTTCCTTATCAGATACATGTTTCAGGTTGTTGCATCTGGACCATTTCAGACAAGATGACTCATTTTTTTTAACTGTCCTAGGTAAAACTGCATTATTTTGGTTCTGTAAATAATTGCAACACATTTTCTGGGGAGATCTAGTGAATTTATTAGAAGAGGGCTGTTTAGAGGATTTTTGCTATCGAGATACTTCAAAAATCCATCAAATCTGATCAATAGCAAGCATTTGAATGTTCACATCCTGGAAACTGCTGCTATTTCTCCAACTGTGACTAAGAAGAAGAATAGGACCAGTTGAAAAAAGTCAATCAGGACCAATATTTTGGGTCAGTATAAAAGAGCTCAGGCTGATTGTCACCTTCGTACTTCTCTGACAGCTGAGATTGTCACTCATTCTTACTGCTCTTTCTACTTTTATTGTACCATTATTGAACAAGAGCTTATAGCTGCACGCAGTCTTGAGGGTGCAGACTTGCTAGGGATTTTTGCAATTAAATAGGTGTTTCTTTCATCTTTTGTTCTGTTACTTTTTAACTTCCTAATAACTCATATCTCATTGGAAGGTCACAGTACATTAATCTGTGCCTTTCCAGAAGCCTGTTTCCTACGAAGCAGCAGTTTGAAGGTATTGTTACCTGTGTATAGAAATGGAGATGTTTCTCTACTGCTTTCAGATGGATGAAGGATGGGCCTGGTCAAACTGGAGATTGGCCAGATCGTGACAAATGGTGTAACACACTTCATATGGGATATTCCATACAGTAAAAAGAAAACCCATAATCCAGCTGAGCTTCTGTTGGTATTTCTCTTATGCAGATGAACGACTGGTTGCTATAGCTTGCTTCCTTGTTGAGTTGACCTGTTTGATTTCCCTTTTTGTCATTTGTCTGTGGGCAGAATTCAGATTGAATGCTCTCCTTCTTGAAGCTGAATTTCCATGTCAGCCAAAGTGCTCTTTATTTTATGAATCTCTCAGTAACAAGATTTTGCTCACTTCCTTCCTCTGTTCTCTGTAGTCAGATGGAGAATTCCCCATTTTTTCCAAATTGTTTATGGAAAACCAAAATTTCAGGCAAAAAACTTTGAAGAACCACACTGATGTGCTTCCTGTATTGACAAAGGAAACCATTTATTTCTAACCTTTGTTTTTTTTCTCTTATAAAGCAGTATTGATCTACAAGAGAATCTGCTCATAAGAGATTAATTGCTTTCAGTCTTTGCTAAGAGGCCTTTATAGAAGCTTTCTTGAAATCAGTTCCTTGCCCTTATGTCAGAGTCCTTCAAAGGGCTTCAACAGGTGGATTAGGAAAAGCACCTTCATAGTTTGTCTGCTAATGCTACTGTACTTTAATTATTTAGCCAAAAATGCCTCCAACATGAGTCAGGACTACTGCAGACCTACTGCTTTTATCTCATTGCCAGGGCTGAATTTTCAATTCTTCTCTACCATGGCTGGCGTAAACCCCAGGTTACATACCACCATAGGTAGGCATGCCGTCCCATTCTTGCTCCGTTCACAAAAGGAGGGAAATCTGTCTGCGTCTGGTGATTTGCTCCTAGTTTTACAGCTTTTTATAAGAGCTCTTTTGTGGCTCCCCAAATTTAAGAGTTAGTCAGGGTGTAGTCTGACTGATTTTAGGAGCAAAGATTGCGTAAACTGCTCCTCTTCTGCCTACTTCTATGTGCCCTTCACATCTACATGCTATGCTCTACCACCCTCAAATTCTTGAAAAGCATACGATTTCCTGATCACCTTGGAAAACAATCCTGGCTAAAAATTTGTATTTTAAAACCTAAATGTGTTTGTTGAACTACAGCAGGGATGTGGAAACAAACAGCTCTGAGGGAGAAGAGAGATAAGCAGGAGTGTCTTACACTGATCTCTCCACCAAAGCAAACGATTCATTAGGTAATCATGACCTTACCATGTTGAGAAAGCCTCCAATGAGCAAATTCCTCCACAGTGAACTCCAATACATTCCACTGTGGCCATATTTTTACATGCTACTTTTACAGTTCCATCATGCATTGTCCACTCAGTAGTTCAAGTCAACTTTGGTTCTTTATGCTGTTTTCTTATGGTTTTACTTTTAACATTTAGAAGTTGATGGGCTTTTCTTTCTGCTTAGTCATGACCTATGTTTTCTCAGGAATGTAATTCAGTGCTTTAAGCCTGCTTTAGTGAGCTACTTCATTGTGCATTCTCTTTTCCTTTTAACCCTTTTGGATAACTGGCACACATACATCTCAGTGGTACATCACCTGTGAGATTCATAGTCTCAATAACTACACCTTTTAATTTTTTATGCATCCTCTTTTTTTAATAGTTCCTTTTTCTGATATTAAACTCTGAGTAAACAGAGAAATTTGAGGTAGGATTTTATTAAACAGGAACGTTAAATGTGAATATGTAGATGTCAAAATGTAAGTTAGGTATGTAAATGGTTTTTCTTCTCCCACACCATGCTCCTCTTTCCCTAATACACCCCAATACAAGCGCATGTATGCAGTATTTTCACAAATAAAATGGAAGGACATGGATATGAAAACATTCTGCTAATTTCTGATAAACCTTTTTGTTTATAGCCTCGCATGGGCTTCCTTCGCTTGCTGTATGGCTGCAGCTGTCACCACTATTAACAAATACACAAAAACTATTTTGGAATTCAAGCACAAAAGAAAAACGTTGGGAAGGAGTTTAAAGATTAAATACAAGTTTCCTGATCGTACATCTCCAGAGAAAGCTTGCAATGTGTATGTGAACTCGTTTCACAACCGTACGGAGGACCCTGCACGTCCAATAAAAGGCTTGCGTCACCTGGCCACTATTTCAGTTCTGTAAATTTGAACTGTACCTCAAGGCATCCTATAAATCATAATGTCAGATCAAAATGAAACAGTATTAATAAAAATGTATACTTGTGTAGTGTTAGTTATCTTTATTTTTTAATAAATAAATCCTATTTCCATGAGTGTTTCAAGGAAGTCCTAGTACTGGAAAAGTGCGTTCAGGTGTCTCAGTTCCAAAAAGACAGTGATACAGGCCCTCCAATGTTCTGATTTGTAATCACTCTCTAGTGCTAATATAAAGTATGTGAGCTTGTTAGAATTTCAGAGGAGTTTCCACCCTCATTCTTTATTGAAAAGACTGTAAAGCTCCCATCCCAATCCGTGCTATCCTAAGCTGTATGTCAGATAAATCACCTGTTTCTTTCCACTGGTTAAGAAGGGCACTGGGAGGTTAGCTCTGGATAGGCTGTATTTAGGACACGTGTCTGAAATTAGACAAGAGACTCCTCAGTTCTAAGACTTTCCAGTCTTAGCATTTTTTAAATTCTTCCTTACTTCAAGGGCCTTTGTGGCCAGCAATGTAAAGGATCTTGGCCAACACCAGGATACAACTGATTTCACCACAAGAACCCTTAAATTTAACACAGGGGAGCTGCAGCACACATTAACAGAAAATTGTGTGCCACCATGCACAGAGACCAACTCAGAGAAGTTTCTCATCTTGTGGATGTCCAGTCCCTGGCAGTGTTCAAGGCCAGGTTGAATGGGGCTTGGAGCAAGCTGCTCTAGTGGAAGGTGTCCCTGCCCGTGGCAGGGGAGTTGGAACTGGATGAGCTTTCAGATGCCTCCCCATCTAAACCATTCTATGATTCTATGCGACTTTCAGACATGTGAGAAGTTTAGAAAAATTAAAAGGGCTGTAGTTGAGTATCTTGCCCCTATGACTTCTACAACTAAATCTGCAGGCCTGGTTTCATCCTCATTTATGAAAGTTAGTATTATTAAGGAATTTACATGGCTTAAAATATAGATAAGTGAGGCTAACAGAAAATATCTCTTAATGAACTAATCTCATAATATTCTTAATGTCATAGAATTTGTTATATGCAACATCTGTACCCAGGTATTCAGACAGTGAGGCAGAGATGGACAAAAGAAATAGAAAATTTATGATTAAATAATAGATTCTCCTGGAGGGAAAAATACTACTTCAGAAATACCAGTGGAGAAGCCTTGTTCTTAATATGAGAAAAAAAACCACAAAATTATAGAAAAGTGTGACCCATTTAAAAGGTCACCTAATCCTTCTTTTTCTCTAGGCAGGATAAACTAAAGCTGCATTGCTTTTTTACAGATGTTTCATTAATCTCTTCTTTAAAGCTTTCAAATACAAGCATTCCAAAATTTCTGTGGCATTTATCCTTCATGCTTAACTATTCTTAGCAGAAAATTCTTTCCCTGTAATTCTCCTCTGCATTAACATTAGCACATTGTCTTTCTATGGCAGAAATGGAGAACAGTTTAGTTCTATCCTCTAGGAAGTACATTTTAGGTATTTGAAACCTGTTTAGATATAACTTTCTTCTATTTTCTATATTAAAATACATCTATCCTTTAAAAAATTCTCAAGAATTTGATCATAGGTGTGCTTTAACCTTTTTACCCTCACTGCTTTTCACTGTGGTTTCTTGAACTGTTCCACATTTTAAAAGTGAAATATTCAAAATCACTGAAGAATTTCTGCTGATATCTGGAAAGTGCAAAATGGAGCAGATGGATTATTCAGCTTATTTCAACACACAATCCATTTGCTTTTAGAACAAAGCAAGGCAATATTGATTCATGTTTAGTCATGATGTCCTGTGATTCTCTGATCTTTTTCTGATTAAATCCCCCAGTTATTCCATATTTTGTTTCTGTGGAGCTGTGAAGGGCTTGACTCTTGCAGAGGTTCAGACACAAGTATAAATGAGACCACAGCAAAAGCCCTTTTTTTTTCTGAGGGGGCAGAGTTCTGTTGAGGAGCAAGTAGATTTTGGACAAAGTGGATGTTTGACTTCACAGTTAAGGTATAGTCATTCAAACAATAAAAGCCCAGTGCTACAACAGCAAATAGATGGAGCTCCAGCAGGTACTACTTCCCTGAGGTAGATGCATGCATGTTTCTTGAAGCCAGAGCAATTGAATTAGAGATACATGAACAGGTTAACGTCCCTGCAAGGTGATAACCATGTATTTTCTTCCACTGGGAATTCCTATCATGTTTGGTGAGTCTTACTGATAGAAAGAGGTAGAAAATTGCAGCTGCTGTGGAAATCTATATGAGCAATGGGGCTTATTGTAGCAACAAATGCAGTTTGGCTGCATGCTTCTTGGGTAGGTATTTCTTTTGTAGGTATTCTGCAAACAACGCATTTTGATAGTGCCTGCAAAAAAGTAGGTGATCGTGATGTCTGTGAGAACTGATGGCACAAGAAAGGCCAGGGTAAGGTTTGCGAAACAGAATTTATGCTCTTAGAGTGAAACTAACAATCAAGACACCCTTATATTATCTTTATATATATTCTGGTTCACCTCATAGGGTGAGACAAAAAGGGGTAAGTGCTCAGCATGAACTTGGAAAATGGGATAGGGAGAAAAAGCCTAGAATGACTATGAGAGACAACTGTGGGAATATGTGAAGTTCACACAGTTCACATGAGTAATGTCCATGCTTATGTCGGACGTGATGATTAAGGACCACATGTGGCAGAGTGGACAAGGGAACTCAATGCTCAATAGCAGTCAGAAAAATTCCTCAGGACCAGGATTTGCATAAGACATGCAAAAGAAGGAAGGAAGTGAAAACCCCAGGAAGCATCTGTATGCCTGTCTGTGAATGCAGACTGTCTATCTTTCTTAAATGCTGCATTCAGCAGTGGCCTGTCCATCTAAAAATTAATAATAATTTAAAAAAGATATACCAGGAAAAGATATAAAGAAGAACAGGAAGAATAATTCAGACTTCTCAACAACAGAGACTAAAGAGATATCAAGGCTCTCCCACCTGGAAAACAGGTAACTGCATGGAAAGTATGATGGGCATGGATGACTGAGAGTCAGTGAATTGAGTGCCATTATTTTTGTCTCTCACAGTAAAAGAAGTAGGAGATACCAGAGAATATTATCTGATGACCAGTTTAAAGCAAACATAAGGAAGTCTTTACATATATATATATATAGGATTAATTCCTCAGGGATAGAATGCTTTGAATAGGAATTTGAAAAAAAAATATGAAAAATCGGTTGCTTAACAAGATGCAGAGACTGATTTTGTTTCAAACTGTGTAGCAGATGATCAGAACCTGGGAGAGTGTAATACAGGGAGCGTCTCCATATTATTGACCCATTCTAATAATTCACTTTTTAAGAAGCATGCACTCCAGGGTCCTGTTGCAGATGGAATATTGAACTAGGTAAGCCCTTATTTGGGCTCACCATTTGCATATCCTGCAAGTATTTCCAAAGAGTACATCTGAGGAGCACTCTGATCCAGTCTCTGACCCGATTTTCCACTAATTTTTACTCCTCAGTGTCCCACATCTCCCTTCTTCCCCATCCCTTTGTTCCTGTAAGTTCTCATCAGTCTTAGCACTTGCAGACTATTCTGATAAGTGGCAACAGGTCCCCAGAATTTGATCTGCCAATTTAGATTGGGAATCACTCTCTTGTAACAGCTGTAGAGTTCCTAGTAGAGTTTTTCCTATACTGTTGTAATGCAAACATGATATCTTGACATATTCACTGAATCCAGAATAATAGAAGTCTCACAGATGAATGTGTGTCAGTGGTAGTGAATCACTGAGACATTGACTGGTTCATGTTTAATAAAGCCTCCTGCTTTATTCTACCTATAGTGAGAAGCAGAAATCATTGACAGAAACTCTTTGCTATAAACACTGACAGAAACATAAACTTCTTTCAGGTCAAAAGCAGGGAAAACCCTTGAATAAAATCAGTTTTCCTCTTCTGTCTTCTGCTTTTCCCTAATCCCGGAGGCAACAATGGCAAAAAACAGCTCAGGAAAGAAGGTGCGAATGTAAACTGCTGCTCTGGGGATGGGGTTGGCCATAAGTACCTCCTGCTTCTTACTGCTCACAGTGCGCAAGACTTCCTCTGCCACCTCCACCGGGTGCACACCGTATGCCACCTTTCTGAAAAAGACTGTAAATCAAAGAGAGAGGAGTGGGAGCTACAGCACACAGTGAGGCACATCTGAAGGAATGGTGGTGAAAAGATACGCAGCTAGTGAAACAGTCAAATTAGTTACGTTCCTATGCACTTTTTATCCCTTACCCATTCCCTTTCCCTCGTCAGCATATCCCTAAGATCTTTTTACAGTTTTAAAGTAAAATCCTCATAGTGCCTGAAAGAAAGAACCACTTGAGTTGGGTGGAACTCTTCCTTGGGACCTTTCGTGCTCTGCTCTATCTCCACTCCTCATGCCCTGGTGTATTTATTTTCTCACACAAAGATGTCTTTTTCTGTGTCCTTCTCTTTTCACTAGGCTCACCCCATCTCTCCAGTCTCTCTTTTCTTTTACTCCCTAGCCTGTTCAGTTTTCCCAGGGCAGTGGTGGAGCTACCATCCCTGAAAGTGTTCAAAACTGTGTAGATGAGGCTCTTAGTGACATGGGTTAGTGGTTACCTTGGCAGTGCTAAGATAAAGTTTGGACTTCATGATCTTAAAGGTCTTTTCCAACCTAGTTGATTCTATGATTCTATGATCCTTTCTGTCATTTCCATTCTTCTTTTATGTTCCTTCCCCCTGCGAAAAGCCTCCATACTGCTGTATGGACCTCAGCTGCTGTCTCTCTTAATGCATCAGCACTTACATTTCCAAATAGATGCCTCCCAGTTGCCAGGCGCTGGTTGGCGATGGTATGAACAGATGAAGGTTGGATTCACAGTGCTGACAGATATATCAAACTCTTCCATTTCAGCTCTAAGACAATCAAAAAAGCCTACAGCAGCATGCTTGGAAGCCGCATCTAAAAAAAAAGAAAAAACCACCACATATGTGTGTTTGGATATAGGAATGCATGGATATAGCTATATAAAACCATAAGCCCTGCAGCTGCAATCTAAGACAATTTTAATATTAATGTTACAGTAATTGAATGTTAGGAGTTTTTTTAACTACTCTTAGTGCCTTTTGATTGAGAATGGTATTAAAGAAGGGTGATATATGTGAACCTTGACCAAAAACCAGAACTATGTGTTGAGTGCAGCAGAGCTGCAAAGCACTCTTCCACCCCGTATTTGACTTGGCTTGCAGTGAAAATCAGCCTGTGCATAACAGAATCTAAAAAATGGCATGTGGGCTCCAGAAATGGAAAGAAGCTTCTCCATTCATTTGCTTTCACATTCCTTGCTCTGGCAGCTTCATTTCATGACACACAGATACAGGTAGAGACATGGTATCTTGGTGACCTCTTCTCCCACTGATGATCTTGTACACATACAATGTATCTTGACACAAGCGGCTTTTTCCTTGATGAAAACCATTTCAGATGTCCCACCAATGTGTTGTTTCTTCCC